GAATATAACCATGTACCATTAATGGCAATTAAAAGATAAGCGGATCTTGAATCATTAAAGGGAAGATCCTATTAGATTGATCAAGAGAGAGAAATCCAAATTTATATTGAACCTTTTCTTTTTAACTTGTTTTCGATTTTGTAATAATTTTAGTCAGCGAAGTTTCTACAAATTTGTTAGTATGTCTTATTTCCTATAGTCTAGATTTGATGGATGGATAATGCAACAATTTAGTGATTTGATTGCATTTTTAAAAGTACAAAGCAAATATAAATAAATTCAAATAAAGCAGATCAATGTTAATTGTGTTATATGAGCAGGCTTTTTCATTCATAAATAGAGCAAGTGAGTCAGAATTCCAATTCGAATTAGCAACTGCAAAGTTTAATAAGATGGGATACATGTTATCGTTTTCCAATTTTCGAATTAAAAATTAAAGTTTCTTTACTCTTTATAAGGTTCTTCTATGTCATAAGAAATAATATCAATTGAGATTGTATTTTCGAATTCAAAAGAGCTAGTTAAACCATAGGCTTGTTTGAATTGCTGATGATATTTAATTTTATGTTGCAATTTTTCATTAATATAGATAATGGTAATAATTCTTCACTCTTCAATTCGATTTGAATGGATTTCAATTGATACTTAGTAATGAAATTATAGAATGAGGGTTGATAGGGAATGAAAGTAAAGAGTTGATTACAGCTTTTGACATCTTATTCTAAATATTCAACAAGGTCTTAGGTTTGCATTTTGAATTTAAATATAACAAATTAATTAATATATCTGAATATATATTAATAAGAGAGTAATAAAAGTAATATAATATAAATGCAAGTACTATATCAAATGAATTGTGTAAGGAAACACATTCTGAAAAGCAAAACCTATTATTTGTAGGTCCTTGAAGATTCAATGATCTTGAGTGATGTAAGTCTACTGAATATATAATATAGCATAAAAACATGTTGAATCCTAAGTATATAATCCAATTTAATTTTGAAACAAGAGTAATGTGGAAGGTTTCAGAATAAGATGAATTATGTTCATTTGGAATCTACTATGTGAATCGAATTAAATGGTTCGACTCTGATCATAATTCTCTCAATCTCTTGAAAATTTACCTGTCTCCTAAAGTCTTTTTTGGAAATATTTCTATATTTTACGATTCTGGTTCCATTATTGGATCTGGAGCATCATCAAAAGTGAAATAAAAAAATTTAAATTAGGTTTGTCTGGTTAAAGTAAAGAAGAGTATTCTTGAATACGCAGCCAAATGCATTTCGAAAAAGTATCTCTTACAAAAAAAGTCAAATGACCGAATGGTATAAATTTTCTTATTCATTATTAGAATAGATTATAATAAGAAATATAAATCTTACAGAAGATCGATCATCCGCATTTCGTAAAGCTACATGAAATCTATCAAGGAGAGAACTCTTACTATCTGGTGACCGATTACTTGTCAGGGGATACTCTTTATAATTACATTAAAACATTTCCAGATGATTAGATACCATCTAATTAAATTCGGGAAGCCATCAAAGTTTGCTTATATTTTTATTATAGATTATATTGACAGCATTAAATTATTTGGAAATTAACAATATTATCCATAGGGATATCAAATTAGAAAATATCTTATTATAAAAATAAAATGATATTACTTCATTAAAGATAATTGATTTTGGCTTGGCAATTTATACATAACCTCAATAGAAAATAAGTATTTGTGGTACTCCTGGATACATTGCGCCTGAAATACTTAAAAATTCCAATGCTGATGAATATTTCACTCATAAATGTGACATTTTTAGCGCTGGAGTCATCTTTTACAAATTGTAAGTTTAATCATAATTATCATCCTAGATTGACAAAGAAAACATTGTTTCGAGCTCAAAATACAATGGAAATTATGGAATAAAACAAATAATGTCAAGTCAATTATTAAGATATTGAATATAAATTATAAAAGGAAGCAGTTAGTTTGTTAAAATCAATGTTGGATCCAAATCCTAAAACTAGATATTCAGCAGCTTAATGTCTTGAGCACCCTTACTTTAGTTGTAAACTTGAGAATATTAATATTTTACAAGAGATCTTAGATAAAGCTACAGGATTTTCTGGTCTCTCATAAATCAGTACTTTTTAATTTATCATTTTATAGAAGAATAAAAGGATACTCATTCCATTGGATAGGAGTCTCAAGCTGCGTAAGTTAAAAGATGCAATCCGACCTCTTATAAGATAAGAGCAGAATAAAGAAAAAGAACCAAAAGCCCTAGAAAATATGCGGAATTTCAATTTTATTGTCCATCCTTTTGTTAAATGAACTCATTCGAAAGTTTAAGTAGTAAAGGATCTTCATCATATTCCAATAAAGTTTCAAGGATTGAAAATTTAATTAACGATAAATTAGATTCGGTGATTGAAGAAGATGATAAATTTCAATAAAATATTAAGTAAGTATGTTCAAATTGAGTAAATTTACTGAATTAATTATGTTTATAAGTATTATTCCCATTTAATTAATATTTTATTAAGACTTCATTATTATTTAATTCATAAATAATTAAATTTTCAATTAATATATATATAATTTGATGAATGATAACAATTTAGACACGTAATAATAATAAACAAGTAGTGGATAAACGTAAGGGACTTATCAAACAATTAAATCAAATAATATTGAACTGCAAATTAAAAAAAATGCTCTTATTTAACAAGAAAGTCCTTATCCAAAGGTTCCTTAAACGAGGAAATCAGAAAAGCTATTCTGTTCTAAATGCAATGCTCCTGTAGATTCTGATATTTCCTATGAAATGGGTAAAGGAAGCTATATAATAATTTTTATTTTACTTGCACTCATAATAACCTTTTTCTTTGCATTTATTCCTTGTCTTTTGAATAATTGTAAAGATGTGCAACATAGATGTTCCAAATGTACTAAATTATTAGGCACTAAATAATTTTTGTTTGGATGAAAATCTATTCAATTTTTCACTTTAAAAAAAAGAATGATAATAATTTAAAACAGCATTTTATTCATATTAGATTTATTTCATAAAGTATATAAATGAAATCATTTGGTTAATTTTTCAATTTAATCTCCTCTGGGTCTAAGATATGGATTAAGAAATTAATTTATAACCAAATAATAAAATCACAAAAATAATTACGATTTTGCTATGTATCTATGAAACATTCCAGAATCTTTTAATTCTTATTTCTATTATTCAATTCTTGTATCTAAATTCAGTTTTCTGCCCTCCTTCATTCCATTTGTATTTTATAAAAACTTTGTTTTCTTCCATTATTGTGACATCTATTAATATCTCGCAACTGGATCTGATCTTTTTGGTAAAGTATTAAATGATTTTTATTTGTAATTATATTTTTTTTGCATTTATTAACTTTAATGAATACTTGTAGTATAGATAGGTTTGTAAGACGAAGAATTCGAAGTGGTAGGCCTATTCTCAATTTTGCTGATGTTTTTGATTTAATTTGTAGTTTCAGTCAAAACTTTTTGATTATTTAAGTTGGATTGTGACTTTTTATTTTCAATTTAATTTCTTTAAGGTAATCTAAACTTAATCCCATTTTTTTATAATTTGTTATCTTGTTATTTATCATCATCCTCATTTTCATCATCATTTTCTTCATCAGCTTCACTTATATTTTATTTGTTATCAGCAAATTGGATAGCTTCAAAATCTTACCTGTCATAATCTTAATATTCATCCTCTGGAATAGATGAGATTTCTTCATCGCTGCTATAATTTTACATTGTAATAATATTACTAACAGTTAATAATTTAAATTTTTAATTTATAAAGAGAGTATTTAGTATACTCTCAGTTTTAATTAATATATGTTTGTATGATTCGTAATGATTGTCGAAGTTGTATAATAATATATTTGTAATTCTTTGACAAATGATTGTAATTATAAAATTCTAAGGGGGTTGTGTTTGATAAGAATATATACACCAAGGATTAATATAAGATAAATCAAAGGTTTTTTTTAAATATAAAATCTTGTGTGAAAATGATAAGTAATACATTAATGAGAGAAGATGGAATAGTGGAATATTCAGGTGATATTGACAAAGAAACATCAGTTAAATATGATGAACCACATTATTCAGCAGATGATGAATAAGTAATATGTTTTAATATAATGTCTTAGTAATGTGAAGAATTTGAAAACGAAGTTGAAGTTCCTATTTACACTCCTTAATAATTGTCTTCCTACAAGAAACCAAGTCCAGTATTTTAAGATGAATTTATATTGGATGAAGAATCTAAAAAGAAGGTGTGCATTGAAGAATGTACTACAACAGAACAATCTGAGGATTATCCTGCATTAGGAGATCTGGAAATGCTGGCCGCTATGCTTTTAAAAGAGAATTAGAAAAAGTTCTCTTATCCTAAGGATTTGCCAGTACCAACAAATGTAGAGTAACATCTAGAGGAATTGAGAATGAGATTCAACCCATCTTAAAAATAAGAGGACTTCATTTCAACATACGTCAAGGGTGATGATTTGCTCAGAATCAAAGTAGGATTATGTGAGGAAATACTGAATGATGAAGAAACATAGAAATTTGAAGTTTGGGTTGAATAACTTTGCACATCTACTAATCATGAATCCTTAAAAGAGATGGCAAGGAAATAGAAAGTGAAGAGATACTTAGAAAAAAAGCATAGTAGAACTTACGAAAAGAAAGTTCATTATCATATTAGACAAAAGGTTGCTGAAGAAAGACTCAGAGTAAAGGGTAGATTTGTAACATGGACATAGGTAATAAATACAATCATATATTATTAGGCTTTGAAAATGTTAAACGAACAATAAGATTCTAATAAGTCATGGACTTATAATGATTATTTTAAAATCAAAAATTTACTAAATGAAAAATTTGGAGCTATCAAAAGTGAAAGATCACTTTAATTTTGATTTTAAATCCATAATCACTTGTTTTTATAAAAAATAATTAATTTATCTATTCATCATAATTCAATATGTTCATTCTCTTAATCAAGTTCATGATTATTCCAATTGCTATTTTGATGCATATCAACCATCTCTTCATCATATTTTATATGCTCCTTCTCTACCTTCGAATTATTATTATTTTATTGTGGAATCGTGTTTTGGAAATTTAAAGTAGGTTTCAATTTTTCAAATGGATTCTCCTGCTCTATTAAATGCTTAAATAATTTGCATTTATACATGATCAGAATCTTAATCTTCCAAATCCCCATAATCTTATTATAATGATTATTTTTTCATTTGCTATTCATCCTTATTTGCTTGTTGATATTAAGTAGAAATCTATCCTGATTGTTCAATAGGATCTTGTTGTAAAAATTAAAAGCACTGTCTTGCAGATTATTAACAGAATTCATAAAGTAATGCTAATTTTCTTTATAACATTTTAAAATTAAATTTATAAAACAATGAATATATATACATTATCAAAATTATCAATAAAGTTAAACACTTTAATTTTATTATCTTACAAACTTATAAACCTACAATTACACATCCTCTTTATTCTTTTGTTTTTTAAATAATTTAGGTAGCTTTAAACTCTAAATCAAACATACTCTCGAATCTATATTTTAACATGGAGTTTTCAAAATTTAAGTTTATTACTAATGCTATAATTATTATTATAGAATCTTTGCTTTTCTACTTTATTGAATTTCAATAAGTGGACATTCAAAGGTAAGTTCTTGTTTTTTCTCTTTGGAATGTGATGAAATAAATTCATAGTAACTTTAAATATTAGAAGGTTGATGTTAAATTTTACCTAAAATCTCTTATACAACCCTTTGAGGTTTCCTTTCAGTATTTTTTTATGAATGATTCATTTTATGGGATGATTAACGATTCTATTAGGTTAAATTAACTTAAGCAAATTTATCATCTTCATCCTATGTTTTAATTAAGTAACTAGGCGATTAAGTTAAGAAATCAAATCCACTTGAATGGTGATTTGAATTGCCCAAAAATATTTCCTTAGAAATTCTCTTGTTTTCATCTAGCTTTTCAATCATTTTGTTTAACTCTGATAAAGTTGATCCACTACAGCAATATAATTTAAATCTCTTAATTTTATATTAAATAAATACATCTGCTGGCAAGAATAGCATTTTGGACTTTTCTGTTAAACACACAGCTTTTGATTAGCGAAATTCTTAATTAGAGACTATTTCTAAGTATCCAAATAATTATCCATACCCACACCTATTTAATTTTAATTGAATATTCTTTTGACCTTGAATAGAATGAAATAATATTACTATATGATCTTTGCAATCTTCGACCGAATGGTTAATCAAAGTGAAAATCATTTTTTGCATTCTGAGTTATTTCTATCTAGCCTTCTAGCACAAAATAGACTCCCCTGTGCATAATACAAATTATTATACTTGACGATTTCTCCTTCTTTGAATATCAGTGTGTCATAACAATATTCTAAAGGTTGAAGATGATATTGCATTTGACTTAATTCTGCATCATTCCAAGCCTTGAATATTTGAATAGATTTGAGAAACTCAAAATTCTTCTATTGAATTCGATTGTAATATTCAGCTTTAATGCTATAATTGATTATTCTATACATAGAAATTTATTAAAGGCTTCCCTTGATAAAGTGATGAATTGGGAGTTCTCCTTGCAAACAATTGTTGCTTGTCTTGGGATAAAGTTAGTAAGAGCTATTTCACCAAAACTGCCTCCTGCTGCTATTTAGCCAACTTTCATTAAATTTGGATATTTTTAAGAAAGCATACTTTCATCATCCAATTCGATGAATTCATCTTCATCCTAAATTAATTTCCATTATGTATTTACTTAAAAGGTTCCTTCATCTATTTCGACTTTATCCTTATTGTTCTCATCCTTTTTTGAGAATGTACCACTTTATAAACCTGATCTGGCAACTAACACCTAATATGATGACGGTTTGAAATACCCAGACTGAACCGCTCAAAATTATATAGAAGTTCTTTCCTATATCTCCTAAACGAAATAAAGTTCTTCTGGCAGGTACTTCTATAAATTGCAATTCCTTCATGAAGTAACACTTATACTCTAAATAAATTAAGCATTTCATCTTAACTGGTGGTCTTGCTCATCTCTTAAAAATATTTAATTGATGAGAAAGCCATTACTAACAATTATAAATCGTTTGCATTTCTCAACTTTTTGGGTTTCTCCAATACTCCAACAATTACCTTAGTATTAATATTTTAATACCTCAAAATGCTCTTTGTCTTGTAAATCGACATATTCTTTTGCAAGTATCTCTTTAACTTAATGTTAAAGATGAAGTTACTATTTAATTTTTTCTATGTTAGATAATTAATGAGTCATGTTTTTTTTAATTTATTATAATCTTCTAATTATTATAATAAAAAATTACATTCTGCTGAAAATCCTATTTTTTGCATTGTCACACTCAAATATTATCTATTAAGCATTATCTTGATAGTATTAAGATAAGTACTGGGTGTAATATTTTATTATAAACATTATTAATAGAATATAATCTCCTTTTCGAATTCGTTACTTTTGAATTTTTCATAGAATTTATGCTATGAATATAAATAAATATAAATATAAATTCAAAATGATTTAATAGCATAATCAAACATTCAAATACCCATCAATTAACTATTGCAATCCCAATTCTTCATTTAGAAGATATGTAAAAGATGAAACTTACACTTAATGTATTATAGAACTCAAAGTTGAAGACAATTAGCGCTCATCTATATCAACTGAAGGCTCATATGATTATTATTCACAATCTTTAAAAATTAATAAAAAGGCGAAAATCCAGAAAAACAAAGATAAACAATTACCACAAAAGTCAGAAACAAAAAATATACCCAAAAATTTTGGAGTATTGTTGAAAAAATATTTATGTACTCATTAAACTTATTTTATTAGGTAGTAAAAATGTCGATAATTAGGCAATTAAAGCATTCTTAAAGAATGGAGAACACAAAAAGAATTTCTCCAGACAGGATTTTACTCGACTTTTTAATGATCCTCATGCAGCAGATCTATCCAGAGAGTATTTCTCAGGATTTTAAATAATACATGATCTTATGATAAGCGAAAAAATCTAGGACGTCAAAAATCATCTCAAATATATAAGTAAATTTTACAATTCCACATATAATAAATAAGAGCTTGATGAACTCAAGTTATAATGAATTTATTTAAAATTTTGTTAGTTTATTAAATATCAAAAATTCTATTTTTAATTAAATATTCTTAATATTCCTATTATAATATTTAATAATCTACACCCCTAGACTAAGCCTAATATTAAAATTTCAATATTCATATTATATATTGAACTAACTATTTACAAATTTTTAGAATAGAAACAGATACTATTATTACAATTCTTAATATTAATAATAGTTAGCAATTTTACAAATTCATGTATAAATCTAAATAAATTTCTTCATGAAGATATGTAATAATATGAACTTTTTGGTTTAGTGTAAAACAATAAATTTATTTTAAAATATACGAAATTTGTTTCAATATTTTAATAAACACAAAATGTCACAATTCAATTTATTTCTCTTCTTCAATATTGCTATAACCTCTTTTATATGAAGTATCTATCGTAACCTCAGGAACATTAGCATCTTATTTTATTAAATCTATTTAGATTTTAAATAATTTTACTAGTAAATAATCGAATCGTCTAGACTCCAAAAAGCATAGCAATAATACAAATGAAGTAATAGATAATCTCTCCAAATAAGGTTTTTTCTTATTTTTAAATGATCTTGGCACAAAATTTATTAAATGAAAATGATGCCTACTTATGAGAATCATCTAGATAATTAAAAATGATATCGACATAAACAGTTGAATTTCCTTATTATTAACAGTCAAAATATAGTAATATCTATTTTCTGTCATTTACATTGTTCATTTGTAATTTTTTTTGATGCTTTATTTTTAGAATCTCCTCATCCTTAACTCTAGTTATTATATCAATATCAATTTTCTAACCATTTGGAAAGAGTCGCTATTAAATTGTTTCCGTATCTTTAGTTTTAAAATAAATAAACATTTAGAAGGCATTAGTACTCTCAGATATTGATTTGGTAGTGTAGTTGTAATCAGTTTGGGATATTCCTGCTCTGAACAATTCATTTGTATTTTTTTTTGTTCCAATATAGATTGGGAATTCTTAATTATTTTCTAGATCCTTGTCTTACTTATCGCATTATTTATAAAAGTATATCAAAAATGATTCTTCTAATTTCAAAGAGTTGATTTTTAAATGAAATAATACTATCATTTTGATAAATTGATTACTTTTTTCATTAGAAATATTATTACATGTAATTTCAGGTTGGATGACCAATTTCTTACTGTTACTAACATAAGCTAAAGGAGGATCAAGATAATATTTCTTGATCAAGTCTTTGGCACTATTTGTATTCTTATTATCAATATTTAGTTAAACATCCTATATATAGATGGTTTCTAGATATTGAGTTGAGTATATTTACAGTTAATCGGAGGTATGAATTCAAAAACAGTAGAAATATTTGATAGTAATTAAGGTTTACTATTATCCCATTAAATCGAAATATTTTCATTATTTAAGTCTCTTAAGAAGACAGAATATTTAGAAGCATCAAAGTATGTTTCATTACATTGTTTTTTGAATGGTATAATTAAAGTTTGATTGGTACTATTAATTATTTCTACTTTTAATTTAAATTAGAGTTCAACATCTAAGTGACATTTGAAGATAATATTGATTTTTTATGTTGTCAAATTGTTTATTTAGGATGGATGAAATTCAAATAAGGATTCATTTTTGGAAACCGATTCTGTCAATTCAAGTTTAAGGTTAATTGGCTATTTAGGTTTTAAGTTTTGAAACTATTTAATAGTAATGATGAATACTTCTAATTGCAGAAACTCTTTCTATTCATCGACTAAGGTTTCTTCTTTCCAATACACTGATCCATTTTTGACAACCTTAATTATTAATAATAATATGTTACATGTATATTCTTGCAATCTTGCTTACATGCAACATCTATATTTTCTAATAAAGACTAACATTTTGCAAGAGACAATAGGAATAAAAATGGCAGCATTTATTATAGCATATAATTATTAATAACCTAAATAGTATGAATATTAAATTGATATAAAATCATTATTGAGTTAAATTACATAAACTCTAACACTAAAACCATCCTACAAATTTGATTTCTCATTTTATATCATTTTATCTTTATAATTTCTTGGAATATAATTATATACTGTATTAATGAAACAAAATAAGGTGAATAAAATAGATTATGAACTTTTGTAGAAAATTTAAATCAATGAATCAAATGTTAATTTATCATGGGTGTTAAAATTTCCGAATAGTCATTAACTACAATCCTCAATTTAATACATGGCTTTTATAGACCTTCATATAGAAATATAAAAGTATGATATATAAGGAGCTTGCCATATTATCATTAATAATCAAATTGAATTTCCCTATTTGCAAATAGCAGAAGGAATGCTTATATTTTAGAAATCAAAATGTTTGTTTTTATGCGATTGTATTGTTGAGAAACAAAAATTTCTCTGTCATTAAAGCTAACTATTTTTAATTAAAATCACAAATAACTAAGGTCACCTCATACTTGTATTTGCTCATCCCGTATCATCAAGAGAATGGTTTAAGATACTAAAATTATCAGCTAAATAAAATAACTTTCTTTAAAAATATCGAATTCAATAAGTGATAATGACAAATATTTTTTCAGTTCTCCAAAGAAGGAAGAATAAAAAGTATGTTGCTTAAATAATTAAGAAAAGAGATATTCATGATTAAGATTAGTATGAAATCATCAACAATTATATTAAAATTCTTAGGAGTGGAAAAATTATTAATTACTACCCAGTTTTAAGTATTTTTGAAGATAACGAAAGCATCTCAATCATTACTTATTAATTTGTTGGAACAACATTCGAAACATTGTTACTAAGCGCATAAACAATTATTCCTCAATCTGATTTAGCATTTATTATCTACTCTGTACTGTAGTCTTTAAGAAGTCTATAAGAAGAAGAACTATTTCACGGTTATGTTTGCCTAGAGAATATAATTATGGCTAATGTATTGGGATCTTTGTAAGTTTACTTGATTAACTCGAACTACAAGGTAAAATATAATGAAACTATTTTATAGCCTTATAATCAAAATAATTTAGATTTTTATTTAAATTTCATTCCTAAATATTTGGTAGCTCCTGAAATTCTATCTTAATAAAATGTACCTTCTGTGAAATCAGATATTTATTAATTAGGAATAATATTTCTATTAGTGAGCTTTTACACTTAAGGATAAACCTTTAATCGATAACATATATCGAAAATGTACTAAAGTAGAAAAGAACTTATCAAATAACAAGAAACCAACTTCTAGAAATGCAAGGATTCAGATTTCCCCAACCTGTTTAGTGCTTGTTAATTGGACTTGATTAAAAAAATGACTGAAAACGATCCTGATAAAAGGATTTCTGTTAATGATGCTCTTAAACATGCCTGGTTTATTAATACAAGAGACAAACTAAAATCATAAAAGATACAATCTATGAATAAGAATTTGCCAAGTTTGAAGACAATAATAGAAATGGTTGAACAAAGTGAACAAGATATTAGAAGAAAATCATTTTAGGTCAGTAATGTTTAGTTGAAAAAAAATAAATTAGAATGTGCCACTTCCATTTAACAATTTGAACATTCTCCTTTCCACTAGTAATAAGATGCCAATTCTTTGGTGAAATCTTAGGAAAGCCAAAATGAAATTATAGATGAAGAACACGAAATAAGTAACTTAATATATCAGCTTAACAATAAACAATATCATATGATGCCTTCCTAATTAGGACACATTATTTAAGATAAAAATTAGTACAGACTTAAATAGGCAAAAAATCATTTATCATAATTCTAAGATTGATTAAATTATATTTATGTATTTTCTTTATCCAATTACAATTATTATAATACTATTTTAAATATATAATAATGAAATGATAAATTCATTAAATTTATAAAATTATATATTTTAATAAGGGGGTGTTCTTTCGAAGTCTTTATAATATACAAGTTATTAACCAACATACAAGAGCGCTTTATATAAATATTTATATCATTTTGAAATGCAGAGAATGCCCTAGGAATCATTTAATTCTCCTTCTTCGTCTCGCATCTCAAATGAAGACCTAAAATAAAGTGACACATTAGAATCATTTAGTAACTCGTTACTCAACAATGATATGGAATGCAATTCCACTCCAAAAGTAAACATATGGCTTTAAATAGGTTAAAAAATATTCAAATGTTTCTATCAAAAAGAAGATCAATAAAGAATTAGAATTAAATAATAAACATAATAGTGGTCATTGGACACCAGAAGAACATTAGACATATGTAGAATTTCTTGAAAAACATCATGATACAACTATGTAAAATCAATAAAATAGAAAAAATAATAAAATCTTCAAATTAATGTCTGAAATAATTGGAACTCGTTCTCCTTCTTAATGCAGGTACAATCATGCAGATTATTAATAATTAGATCTCATCATTAAAAGTTTAACCCATACACACCAGCTGGTTAGAGAAGATTAAAGAAAAACAAAAAAAAATGGAGTATCAATTATTAATTATATAATACTAGATACTGAAACCCAAATTTAATTGAACGATACCAACTAATTTATACAGTATTTTACTCCAGAACTAAGACCTAATCAAGGTTTTATTAATAATTGACCTTAGAACTTCTTCCCATTATTTAAGATCAAGATGAATAATAAGATTATCTTTGTGAAGAATCCTAAAGACTCAGAATTCGCAGATATTCACTTGATAATCTTGATGAAAGTTACCATTTCAATAATCCTCATAACACCTAATTGTTTAATGAGTTTTGTTATGATTGATAATAACAATCAATTTATTTATTGTAATACAATATACATATTTTTAATAAAGAATTAAAATTAAATGGATATCAATCCAAATTCCAAAAAAGAAAAGCACGAAGATAGAATATAAAAATAAGCAATCATTCGATAACAATATCTAAAGTAAGCTCTCAAGAATTACAACAAATAAGGCAAACTTGGATTGAATAGAGATCCTAAACTATGTGAGTACAATTTCAAATTGTTAAAGCCTTATTATTTGTAATTGAAAGATTCATTTAAAGGACACTGGATGAAGTAAATACCAAGAGAGTATAATAAAGAAAAGAAATTATAAAAATAAGAATAGGATCTACATTAATTGTTATGATTTAACTAATATCATCATATAAAATAAGTTTTGATTTTTCTAATTTATCTTTATTTATTGTTTCATACAAAATTATGGCAGAGCATAAATTAATTGATGGATATGTTGTGACCAATAAATTACTCGGAACAGTACATTTATTATTTTTACATTAAGGGAGCATTTGGATCAGTTTTTAGAGGCTATAAAGAAAGTGATCCTAAATTAATTGTTGCTGTTAAAATGCTACCAATGACGGAAGGCACAAATAAAAATTTCATAAGAAACATCAGGAGAGAAATTGAAATACTGTCAAAAATAAGAAGCCAATATATTGTGCAGTAAATTCATACTTAACTTAAAGGTTATTTCATGCAGCTAGAACTTAGAAAAATTACTATATTTTCTTAGAATATTGTAATGGAGGAGACCTTAAAGATATGATGAAATCAAAAGGAGGATATCTCTCTGAATAAGATGCTGTTACTTATTTCAAACAAATCATTTATGGATTTAAGGCCATTTATTAAGAAAATGTTATACATAGAGATATTAAACCAGCCAACATTTTATTACATAATGGTATTAAATAATCTTAAAATAGGTATCGCTAAAATCAGTGATTTTGGATTTGCTAGAGTTGTGGAAGATATGGAAGGATAAGAGAAATTCACTTTGCTTGGAACTCCTCTCTATATGTCTCCTTAAATTTTGGAGTAAGGAAAATTTAACTCTAAATGTGATATTTGGTCGGTAGGAATAATGTTTTATGAAATGCTTTATGGACACCCTCCTTGGACAGCCACAAGCCAATTAGCATTATTAGATTAAATAAAAAAAAAACCACTGACTTTCCCAAATCAACCAAAAAGACAACAAATAATTAAAGATCTCATTTCTAAAATGTTAGTCATTGATGAAGAACAAAGAATTAATTGGTATGACTTGTTTGAAAATGAATTAATAAAATGCAACAGCCAAGAACTTAAAAATAAACTCAATCTCATAATAGATAGTGTCTAAGATACTTTAGAACAATCAGTATAATTGAATAGATTTTATGTGGATAACAATCTTATCCTTGCTCAAGGAAAAAACCAAGAAACATAAGTGTTATTTGAAGTTAAAAATGATGATGATAACATGAATATAGAATAAAAAGATAACTCCTAATAAAATTTAGACGATCTTAAAGGATTAACATATAATGATATCATTGAGGCCCAAACTAAAAAGTTATAAGAACAAATTACAATTAACAAAATTGATGCACATCTTTCACTTATGAGAAACATTGGTATATTTGTTAATCTAACAACTAATAATGTATTTTAGCTATTTAAAGATTAATAATTAAACATATCAACTCATTTGTTTTATCGAATTATGTTCCTCCTGTAAAAATCACAAATGATAATATTTGATGACTTAATTAATATTATGGCTAGTAAAGTAATATAAATGTAATATTTAGACACCCATTGGCAATGGATTTACTGATTTAGATTGGAAACTCTATAAAAAAAATTTATAGTATTTTACAACTTTAAAAGCTATTAAAACAGATAAATATTATCTGAAAGCATATTACGAGGAAATAACGAAACGAACCTACAACTATTTAACTAATTAAATACAATAAGAAAAAATAGATGGGTAAGATAAAATTGATGTAAAAGAATTCCTTTCAATCATGACTAATAACTAATAATCAGATTTAAATTTTAATAAAATTTATGAGAAAACTCTCAAACTTTGTATCAAGTAAATGTATGAGTATGTTTGCCAACAACAAAAATCAACAGAAAATCGAATATTTTTACAAACCTTAAAATATTTATAACTTTGTTTGAACCCATTTGCTTATTTCAGATAAAATAAAGAATTTTCGGACTTTAGCAAATTTTATGAATATTATGATAACATTGACATGGAAATGTTTTTGCAATAGATTCGTGAAAATTTTAAATTCTTTTGAAAAGGTTATATAATTATAAATAATCAAAATTATCAAATTTCTTTATGATCGAATTTTAAGATCTTTATTTTTTAAACTTTATTGATGAGTCCTTCTAAAAAGGTATTTCAATAAGTTAGAAATGGATTAATTCAGAGTTCAAATTTACATGAAAATCTTGAATTTAATAAAATTTTCTTTTGATATCTTAAGAATTAAACAGAAAATTCAGAAAAGTGTTAAATTTACAAGTAGAGAGCTTCCATCCTATTTAATTTTCCAATAGCTATAAAATTAACTTAGATTGTGTCTTTCTAATATCTCTAATTACACGCTTGCACAAAAGTTCTTAATCTAGCAGAATTTGGAAAATATAAAGGCATATTCATTGAGGATTTAACTAAGATGAGGGAAACGATAGATTATCTATTAAACTAGAGAATGCAAGTCATTGGTTTGAGAAGAAGAAAATATGGGAAGAGGTGTTATGCTAAAAACCTTTTGGATATTTAACATAAGTCATGAACTTGGGGATGAATATTTTATAATGAAGTTTACATTGAATGAAGAAAAGGTTTCAAAATTAATGAATAAGTTAAGACAATATAATTGAAAATAGAATAAGAAATTCAGAGGTAATCACTGGAAAGGAATTAAAGAATATCTGGACAGTTAAGAAAGAGAAGCTATACTTAAAAGAATATCTTAGCTTTGTTGATCCCTACGGATATGGCAATTATACTTACAAAGATTATCAAACTGGACATAAACTTAGAAACGAATATTGTTTCTTATTTACAAGAATTTAATATAGACCAAAGATTCAGAAAGGATGTAATAACAAGAGATGACAAATCCCTGATGATAATTCAGGTTAGTAGATATTTTCAAATGTTCATGCCAAATACAAGTGAAACACATTGCCTCTCTCGAATAACATTCTTATCTTTAATCTATTTCCTTACCATAGAAAATATTTAATATGAATTTTGTTAATTTTCTCAAGAGGAGATCTAAAACATTGTGAAATTTTAAGCTAAAAGAGAAAGGTTCACTAAATGAATTGTAAGCTGAAAAAGTAAACAAGATTCAAATTATGATGACCGAAATCGCATATGCAAAATTAATATGTATACATAATATAATATATGTTGAATTTCCTAAATATTCTTCCACTAAATTCCTTCTTCAACATTTTATTCATTTTAGATCATTTAAAAACTAAATGCCCAAAACTTTAGAATTGTTATCATTGAGTTCTATCAATTTTGAGAAACATACCTACGGGAAATTTAGATTTATGTTTATTAGTATATAATATTTCGCAATTGTAAATTTGTTAAAGTATAAAAAAATTGATAATTTTATATTTGAATATTGATTGGATTATTATTTATTATTATCAATCGTTATTATTAATTATTATTTTAAATATCAGCATTTATGTAAACTCAATTATTTTATAATATTCTTAGTCATTAATGATCTTTTTAATTTTGTTTTAATCTTTCAATTTAGATTTTAATTTCACTAAGTTTTTTTATTTTATTGAATTTTCTACTTCTAAAATCTTGTTTTCTATAAATTCTTTATCTTTCTCCATTTCTTCAGTCCTCATCTTATTGTAGTTTTTAAATAAAATATTTTCATATCTTAAGAATATATCTTAAGCTTCTTTCTCTTTTTTTGTGTATTCTTCTAATTCCATGTATAATTTAGATTAGAATTACTTTTAATAGTCGCTTTCTATATTATTCTATTGTTTTGACTTTTATTAATTTGCATTTTCTTTGATTCTTTCATAATACCGTGTTAAGTGATATTATTTAATATAATTAATTAAAGCATAAATTTTCTAGTATGATTCTAAATTTTAAAGAAAAGTATTGTTGAACTTTTCTATTTCATCTTTTTCTGGAATATTCTTCATTATTTTATCAACATCACCAAAGACTTTTAGAATATATTCTTTTAATTCATTTAATTATTAACTAGATATCCTTTAATTTATTGAAGTTAATTCTATTGAGAATTGCTCTTCTAACATTTTTAAATATTCATAATTCTTAATTAGATTTTCATCCATTAAGCAAAAATTTATTTCTTATTATTTTTGAGCAACTTTTTTAATTATATCATCTAACCTCTATCCTTTTTATTAACAAGTGTATTAGAATCTATTGAGTATATTTTAAATTAATTGTTATTACTTTCCTTATTTTTTTGTATTTTATTGTAATTCTATTTCCAATAGTTGCATGTTTTCAGATTTAATCTATGAATACTAATTCAAAATGCTTATTTCTTATTCCAATTCTTTTTGGAGATTATCTTTATTTTGATTCATTTATTAATAAAACTCAATACCTTCAAATTGAAATTTGATTGATTACAGAGCCTTTTTATATTCCGTATATCTATTTTTTAATTGATTATTTAAAGTATGAATTTCTTTTTCTGATTCACATTTAGTTTCTTCTCCTACAATTTTAATGATTAACTCTAATTGGTTTAAATATTCTATTTCATTAAGTTCTACTTCCTTTAACTTTCCCTAAAATTCTTTTAATTATTTTAAATAGCTATTAATATTTTCACAAGAATCTAATTAATTCAATTAAGTAAACTTTACAAATTACATTTTTTATTACATTATATTTTATTCAATCTCTGCTAATCTTGTATTTATTAATTTTTATGTTTTTTCATTATTACAATATTCATTTTATATTAGGATTTTCGCTTAATCTTTTAAGTTATTCATTTTTATAATAAATTTATCAAATTAATCTTTTGCCATTTCTAATTTTTTTATTCTTTCTTGATTTTTTAATTCTATCTGTTCATCATAATAAATTTGTTAATGTAATTAACCATATTATTTTTCAAAGTTCACTATTGATTTATGAATTTATTAATTTATTTGAGAGTACTATAAATAAGCTGGAATTGTTCTTTTCGATATCAATTATTTTAGATTATCTAAGAAATCAATAGCCTGTCCTATCTGGTGAATTATTTATGCTATTTAATTTGAATATTTTTCCTTTTTTGTTAAATACTGATATTTTTCCTAATAATCAATTAATTCTTTATATAATTCCTCAACTTCTTACTCATGTGTACTTAAATATCGTCTATCTCTTTATTAAATTTGCTCATTTATTTCTTCAATTTGAATTTTGAGTGTATTTTAAGCCTATAAAATTTATTCAAGTTTGTTATTGCATGATTAATAAGTCATAATTTGCTGTTGCTGTGATTCAGATTACTCAATTATTTTCCCATTAAATTCCTCTGTTTAAATATCTTATGTTATTTGTTAATTATTTTTAATCATATCTTGGATATTCTCTTCACATTAAATTTAAATTTCTATTCTCTGATAAAAATCAATTTGGTGTTATATTTATTAAATCTAAGGAGATTATTAATTTAATTACTATTTAAGTAGTTTTAATTAAGATTGATAATATTCTTTTTCTTTTGTTAATATCTACTCTTATTCTAATTTCAATTTCTATTCTGATTCTATTTTGATTCTATCTTCTTATTCTTTTTCTTTGACAAACTATTCTAGTTAACTTTATTCTTACATGATTCTATCAATTATAAGTTTCTAGTCATTATTATATTATTAATATTCTTAAGATAGTTCATTATCATTGTTTTTTAGCATTTCCTTTATTTATGCTTAAAATATCGTTTTATATCTTTATTAATTTTTTAATAAAATCTTTTCATATTTCGACAATTCATTATTAATGTAAGTTAACAATTCTTATTTTTTTTGATTTTATAAATTAATTTGATTAATTATTGGTTATTTTTCAGTTAGAAATTAAATGATATTCTTAATTGTGCATTATATAGAATCTATTATTAATTATTATTGATCTTTAAATTATTATATTTCTTTTTATTCTTACTCCTTAATTGTCTTTAAATGTTAATCTATTAGCTTTAGTATTATTTCCAAATTGAATCTGTTTTTACTTTCTTTTTATAACAGAGACTTAATTATTTCCTTTTCTGATGGCTGCATACAATTGATTTGATCTATTTTCATATCTATCTACTCCTATGTTAAAGCATTCATCTGAGTTATTAATTCTTTTGTAGTTTTAGCTACATATAATTAAATTAAAACCTTTTAAAAATGATTCTGCTGTTAATATTTAAAAGAGTATGATTCCTAGACTCCAAATATCAGCAGTATTATCATAGTTACCCTCTCCTAGCATAACTTCAGGTGACATGTAATTCCAAGTCCCTACTTATAATGTTTTTAATCTTGTGGAGCCTTTTTTAGCTAAACCAAAGTCTATCAATTTGACTTTATAACTTTTATTTTTATTTTCAAAATATACAAAGTTCTCTAATTTCAAATCTCGATGAACATATCCTAAAGCATGTAATTCCTTAACTCCTTTAATCATCTAAAAATATAATTTAATTTACTTATTTAAAGAGTTTAAATTTCTGAACTAAATCTAAAGATGTATTAGCAATCAATTATTATGCATTATTTTTACCTTTTTCCATAACTATTCGTAAATTTATCTATTCTTTCTATTAACAATCTTGTATTCCAAGTATTTTAATAATATGTTTGTTTTTAAACTTATTATCAATTTGTTCTTTTTGAATTATCTTCAGCACTTCTAATTCATCTATTCTTATTTAATCATATTGTTTTATGATAACTTATTCATTTGAATCCCCACTGCACTTTGCAATATAATTCGTTGATTGAGCACCTTATTACTTGATTTCACTAACAATTTCATACCCTCTCCCTTAAATAAACAATATGTTACTTTATTACTATGATGAAAGCATTGATTAAATATAATTATAATAGAATTATACATATTTTAATTTTAATATACAAAATATGAAGATCTTGGTTATTTTTTCTCATACTTTACATATACTTTAAGGCCAACTAATAACAATTATTTGAAGAATGGATGTTAATCGAAATTTTAACTATTTTAGTAATAAATAAAAATAAAATTTTATCTCTTTAAAATAATAGATTATTGGGTAGGATACCTATGTTAGAGAGACATGTAGCTTTTAAACTATTATTTTAAATAATCAATTAATTTATCAAAATCTATGCCTGATATCGCATCATATCAAAGGAACAGAATTTAAAATTGAAATCAATATAAAGGCAGTGATAACAGTTTAGATTAATAGTGATAAATGAATTGATTTAATCATTTTTGTAAAGATTAGCTGATATAATTAAGAATATTGTTGATAGGTTTATCAATAATATTTTCTTAAATGATTTGATAATATGCGTATTTCAATAATCTATTTGATAACACATTATATTTTCAAAAAATAAGTTTACAAGAATATAAATTAATCAATGAACGTTGGAATGAAGTAGTTTCAACCTGTTGTTATTAAACATTTGATTACAATCAAAAAATTATTCTTAGATACTTTTCTTTTTTATTAGATCGAAAATATTGAATTATTGTTGATAAACTTGAAGAGAAACTTTGTCTATAATATTTTAGTTATAATACTCTTTCATTATTCTTAACATCAACTTTATTACCTCTACTAATATTTGGTATACACAGGTTTTATCAAATCTCATTATGCTTAATGTAAAAATTCACTTTAAATATGCAATTTGTCGAAATATAATCTATAATTTCAAATTAGAATCAGCCTGTTTATATTAATAATCATTTGATTTGAGTTTCTTAATTTCCATGAAACTATCCATTAATAATCAGAAATAAATTTGATAATTAGAATATAAAGAAGGATATACTATATATAATACTTTTAATTGTTATTCTAATCTTATTGGTTTTATAAAATATTAGGTAGAATGAAAATTTGAAATAAATTGATTCAATTCTGAAATCTGCAATTATTCTTTACAAAGTTCAATCTATTAATTATTCTTAAACTGCGATTGCTCTTTGTTAAAATTACGAATGAAAAAATGGAATTAACCATCAATTATCTACAATTAAAGTTAATCAATTTTTCTTTAGCAACTGGTCCAAATGTATTTTATCATTCACAATTATTCTACATAACACAATGATTTCTAGAAATATTATAATTATATTGAAAACCCTAACATTGTTTATGAATTTATGTACAACCCGCAAATTTGTATAACTACAATTATTTGTATTTATAATTTCTATTAATTATTTTAAATTAGCTTCTTTCTTTTATTACAGATGAACATCCTTTCAAATATATTTAATACTTTTACCTATCAGCATCTGATCATAATTTAAAAAATCTCTTTTGAACCTTCATTAATACTCTAGATTTAATTATCCAACAGTAATAAAGGAACCAAAAGAATATTTTTAACGCAAGGAAATCAGAAAAGTTTACTTATTTCAAGATAAATTCATATCTTGACAACCTTTGCTGAGTAGATATTCGCAAATGAATTATCGACCATGTCGTTGTTGTTTTTATATTCTTGAAAAAAATTCTATTAAAAGGTAACTTCAGATAAACCAATTTGATTTTTCAGTATTATGTTGAATTTATTGATAACTTAATAATTAAATTATAATTGTTTTGAGAAAAGTCAAATTTGTTTCACAACTTATTTTAATCAAATATCTAAACTCATTAACTTACCTCAAAGTAAATATTCAATGGAAACCATATTGTCTATTAATTAAAGAATTAATATGTAAGATACAATAAATTAATGATCTTTCAGATAGAAGAATTTAATTCTTGATTATAAATAAGCAAATTAGTATTCGAGTTAATATGCTTATAAAGACCTAGAAAAAATTAACAGTAATTATTTTTGCAGCTCTACTCTGTTGAATCTCTTTAATTTTGCAAGAAAATTAGTATTATTTAGTGGAACCACATTCGAATTTAAAAGATTTTTATTGCATTTGATTTTCCATCGACAATATACATTAGATTTGAAATTTTGAAGAAAATTTGATAGTTAAAACAAGTTTAATAATTCATCACTACTACATAATTTAATAATAAAAAAGACATAATTTAATAATAAAAATATCAATAAAATTACAAGAAAATTTTGGAAGTTATTATTATCAATTGATCTAATTTCTTTTCATTTATATTCAAAAATACACAATATTGGAGTTTAGAAAGCCTCATATTTTCGCTCTAAAATATGAATAAGATCAAATATACAAAGAAAATGTTAGAAATTAATTCTATATTGATTTATTTATTCTAAAATGATTATCGAAAGGTCAAGGATAAAAAGCATTATATTTTTAATATTATTTTTAATTAAACTTCAAAATCTCATAGCATTTTGGGCAGGCCCTTAATTATTTGGTGTTGGATAGAAAGTTAATATATTTTATCCAGGTGAGGGATTAGGTCTGTTGATAATTGGATACTATTAAAACTTTCCTTATTTATCAATTAATTAGTGTGCGTTTTGAGGCATCTGAGCCTATTGCTAGTTATTGAAAAAAAAATTTTATTAATTGTTTTATTGAATTCGTTATGGTGTATATTGTTCATTATTGAAAACTTACGTTTATGGTAAATTTTGTATAGCATAAGTATTTAGAGCTAAATGCTATTACAAATATTGATTATTGTTTTGAATCTTGTATTGTTATTAATTTTACTGGACATTTTATTACATGCTTTCCTATCCTAAGCATACCTATTAACATAATTCTAAATCAATATTATCTTTGAATTGTTCCTCTTTCTTGAGTATCTCGAAAAATTAACTTTATTTGACTTGCTGATTTTATGATTTATATATAAAAAGTTTGAAAAGGAAATAAAATATCCTTCTTAAAGCCAATTTATTGATGAGCTTATTTTCTTAATAAACTTCATCATTATAAGTGATTGTGCTTTCTTCCTCATATGATATTTGTTGATTATTGAGGGAAATTCGTTCTTTTGTGCATCCACAAATGCATTAATTATTTAGGATAGCCCAACAATCCTCTGCATTTATTTGATTTCGGAAACCAGATAAACATGTTAATAAATGATAATCACAATTAAACTAAAAGGTATTAACTTGCTTTTCAACCCTCTTTAGATAAAACAGTGTTATCATATTATTCAGATATTATTATTGTTTATTTTTATTATAGATCTGAACATTTTGTAGGAATAACTATTTTAGTTATTTGTAACTTTAATAAAATATATGCGAATAGTTTGTGTTATTAGATACCTTATTTGACACAAGCTACATTTTAACAGAAAGAGATAGATTTTACTCCTAAAATTCAATCTATTTTAATTTTTCCATACTTTTGTTAAACATTATTTTATTGCTTTAATTCTTTCTTAATACATTATTTGCATTAATATCAAAATTGTAAGACTCTTCCAATTCATTAAGAAATAAATCTTCTTCATTATTAATAGTATTGATATTTTCGTTTGAAAAGAAAGTACGAGCAATAACTAATTTGATTTCTTGATGTTATCCTGTCACTGCAAGAATTTCTTATAAAGTTTAGACTGATTCTTAAGCATTTCTAGATTCTGCTTTTAAACAAAATACTAATGTCAATTGATCTTAACAATTGAGGATTAAGTTAATTATTAAATTCATTATTTCTGAATCGTTTTTATTGAAAAAACCTGGAGTATCAATCAAGCAAAATCCATATATTCTTGAGCCATATGGAGGAATCATGTAATATGTAGCTTTTGAAGTTGGCTCATTATTTGAAACCCTTAATCTAAAATTTTCATCGAATTTAATATCAAAATAATAATTTACAAATGCATCTATTAATGTAGTTTTTCCTTAGTCCTTCTACCCAATAAAAATTACTGTTTTATAATTGTGGCTTATACTTTTTTAATTTGTATCATACAAGTAATATTAAACTCCATTTTCAGTTGTATCCAATTTTATTAATGGCAACTCCAATTCTTTCTTTAACTTAATTATTTAAATCTTTCCTTATTTATCAATCAATTTTAATTTCTCTTAACAAGAGTTCAACTAATCAAATTTTGTTAATGAGGATAAATTTGATTCTACTTGAGCAATCCACTTAGATTATAATTCCTTTATTTGAATTCTAATTTTATCTTCGAATTATTGACTACTTTTTTATGTAATTTCTTTTTGTACGATATATTCCAACTCTTCAAGAAACTTGTAATCAACCAATTTTTATTTTTCGTTATGCAAATCTTACTACCATGAGTTGACTATCGATAGCACTTGATCTATTTATTTTGAAATGACAATTCTAAATTATTCTAGATCACTTTGAAATTCTTTAAGCAATTTAAGAAATGGAGTGATAAGTGTTTCAATTACTTTATGTTTTTATTTTAATTCAGATTCAATTTTTTCAATCGCTGTCCTCCATCCCATGGTCGTGATATTCTTTTCAAAATTTTTGATACAATCAGCGCATAAGAATCTATTTTATGAAGACGAACTTTAGGTTAGGGAGATTGCTACTATGGGTCTTTAATGTTATTATGAACATAAAAAATCTGACTCCTATTCCCTTAATTTAATCATTTATTTATTAAAATTCCTCAAATCCACTACATTATGAATTTCGACAAAATTAATTGTTCTGTTTTTGATAGGAACTGCTTTTTATGAGAATTATGTAAAAAGACAACATTATTAAAATATAAAAATCGTTTGTTGATGAATAAATTCTCTCAAATTATAATTTAATATTTCTAAATGTTTTCTTACATTTGTCTTTAGAATGTTTGATACTATGAAAAAAATATTAAATAAATTCTTGATGATGAAGAGTTAACTGTTTATAAAATAGTCATAATCAAAAATTTATATTTATAAAACCTAATATATTACTACAAATTAAGGATGGAATTTCACGAATGAATTATAAATCATTATTGACTTTTACGTATAAGATTCTAAGTTTATTTTAGGAGATTCATTATTGTATCTTATTTCTTGATTTTTCTCTTCCTCAAAAAATGATGCTATGAATTAAAATCATTTTTGTATAACTAAGATAATAATTGATTAATACCAAAAATATAATTTGAGATATATTATGATGTGGATAATAACTTTTGAATTCTTTAACTACTTCAAAATCTTTAAAAATTTCTAGATATTACCCTCTAATTAATTTTTACCCATTGATATCCTCATCTGAAGAATCATCTGAGGTCACTTTAATAGTTAATCCTCTTTATATATTAGCTTGATTATTGATGTCTTTGCTTTCTTTACTTTCTTTGCTTTCCTTATTATTGATTACTGTTAATTGCCTCTCCTTCTATTAATGTAGCAGTTCTTCTTTCTATTTAATTTTCTCATATTGGATCATCATACTTTGTTCCAATGGTTTAAATTCCTATTAGGGGAAATGCCAAAGTTAATTCTGCTGAGGTTCTTGAAATGCAATCTATTTATCAGTAAATCTTTATCTATTTTTCAATATTTGTTCTTCTAAAAACTAATTGGTTAAATCCTTTTCATCCTCAGAATTGTCCTCATCATTATTGACTTTAGTATATATCTTGTTAGTTGTTTATTTCTAATCTTTATCAAAAGATTGATCACTATCATCATTCACTTAATAAATTTCAATGTTAGGTCTAACATTGCTATTTTTAATAGAGCGTTGACTATTAGAATATTCCAATTCAAAGGGTGAATCTTCTTATTTATTTTACTTATGTTTTAAATATTCTTATCCTTTTTCATTTTAAATGATGTAATCCTAAATGCTTTGTTTTCTCATAATAGTCGGTTATTATAATTTGTTCATATTTTATTGTTGGGATACAATTAATTAATTATTAAATCCAGATAACTGAGGCAATCCCTCTTAACTATCTTGTCTTTCAGTAAACAATCTTTTAAATTATTTTTATCTGTTTGTTTTATTCTCATATTGTTCTGTTTGTTTTCTCTCGAATTTCTATCTAATGGAATGTTTTTTTTTCATCATTCTTAATTATGGTTTCTTTGATTCAGTGTTAATTGAAGGGACAATAGAAGTTTATTAAACTTCCAATTATGGCAATTATTCGCTAAGGTTAATGGAAAACTTATTCTCATCAGATCTTTCTTCTTTAGTTTATGGTTCTTCCAAAATAGGTTATATTTTTAAGTTATTCAAGTCTGTTAACAATCGAATATCTTAAGATTTACTTAAAGTTCCAAATTGATTATTTTTTTCTATAGGCACATCTTGAACTTAATTAATAGAATTATCCTTTAAAGAACTTTAGTTTTAGATTTATTGAGTATTACGAAGAGATTAATGAGATATACAGTTGATTGAAGTTGGAACATTTGGTAATTGAGATGTGGGCTTTGTGAATTAGTTAGATAAATTATATGAGATCTTCTCTTCATATTATTATTGTTATTTGATGGCTGCTTGTAATTCTAGATTGAATTTATATATATATTTACATTCTTTAATTCCCTCTAAATTACAAATTTCATCGTTCTTCATTATATATTATATTACACTTTCCATAACAAGAAAATGATGCTTTTTTGTTGATATTCTTCTATCATCATTATTCCTTAATTTCAATATTCTATCTTGAGGTACGTTGTGTCTCAATTGATACAATACTTTTGTTCTGTTTATACCCCCTATAAGGAGAGGACAATCAAGTACAAAATGATTTGCTTTACGACAAATAGAGCATTTTATCGAGATTCTTCCAAATTATTTTTGTAACCTAATATCTTCCTCAAAGTGCTTAAAGATTTCCTAAGAGATTCAAATAATATTATTACATAGTCAATATCACTCTATTTGATGTGTTCAATCAAAGTTTATCGATCGATTGCCAATAATTTTGTGTTTTTTGTAGCAATAGCTTCATAATTATATTCGGTATTGAGAAGAAAATTTAGTTAACCAACCAAGCATTGAGTCTTAATTTTTTCAAGTATTCTTTTTTTTTTATTGATGATTACATGCAAATCAATTGATCCGCTTACTAATATATATAAATTATCGGCTCTCTAGTTTGATTTAAATAAATATTCGTCTGGCTACAATTACAATTCTTTGAATTATAAACAAAGTGTATTTAATAATGAATTTGTAAATTACTTAAATAAATCCAATTATTTTAGTAATTTTATATTTATATCTACAATCATTTGATCCTTTAAATATTAAGGAATTTAATCCTAAAATTGAATTACTTCTTAAGAAGGTTTGCTCCAAAAATATTCAAAATATCTTCTAAACTTGATTTGCAATGTAGTTGATACTTTTTAATTTTTTAAGTATTTATTTAGACTATTCATATTTGTTTTAAATTAAACAGATTATTTAGACATATCCTAAAATATTTATCCAATACTATTGACTGAATATGCAAAGGTTGCTGTAGATATCAATGTCATTCCTATACAAAATAATCTTTCGGTTAAATTTACAGGAGTGATATCACCATAACCAATAGTTGTCATTGTAACAATACTCCAATAAAATGAAACTACATATCTATCAATCCACATTGAATTGTATAATTATTCTTTTATCAACCAAGTTAGCGTGTTCTTATCTCCCCAATCTCCCCAAACTCCTAGTTTATGCCAAATACAAGCTGAGAAATGAGCACATAATAGTATAAAAAAACTCTATTATTTATGTATTATTACATGAGTTTAACTAATTCAAAAACAGTAGTTTGTTGTTATGTCAATTCCAAACGATTGAATAAAGAATTAGTTAATTTGGATATCTGGAACACTTTCAAGATAATAACAAGATCTAAGTATATAAAATCAAATTGTCTTCCAATAAAGAATGGTATGATTAAGACCATATCGATTAGAAATTCTCTCTTTAGATATCGCTTTATTAATCTCTTCCTATTTTTAATTAGCACTCCTTTACTATAAATACAGGTATTAAACTTAATTATAATTTCTAGTAAGAATGAATAACTTGGTAGTTATTCAAATATGAAATCTTTCAGTACCCAATCCATTTCGACAATTTCCACAAAAGATAATCGCAATGAAACATAAAACACGTTGATTGTAACAATACACAATAAATAAATATTCCAAATTATAATTATTGTGTCATCAGGTTCCAATAATATAAACTGCATGATTCTCTTTATGTAATTTCTTCTGTAATCTATAATAACAAAGGTTATTACATTGTAAGAAGTTCACCCTTTGATCAAATTTAATCATAAAAGATTGAGCTTTAGCTTGTGTAAAATAGCCTCTATGTAGATAATAGTTGTAATCTGAAGAGTTATCTTTAAGTAATTTGAAAAATTGACGATTGAGCAACTTAAAGGAAGTAGTAAATGTTTATTTCGTTATCGCTTATATAAATTTTAGAACGATTAAAATGATGTTGAATCCATTAAGTTTCCATGTATTATTGAATTAATATTGAGAAAATTGTCTTCTGAACAAATTCTGACTCTATTTTCGAAATTGAGTATCAATTCTCTCTGAATTTTATTATTCCTCATATTATTATGAAATGTTCATAATTTATATATTTATATTTTATATCAATTCAAGGTAAAAAATTATCTTCTACCCCATCCTAGAATTACTCATCATCAATATTTTGTCTAACATTCGTTTTAGGAGGTGGTTGTTTATTCCCACGTCTATAATAATAATATGAATTAATAAATACCTAGTATTATTAGTGAAACTAACAGGATTGTCATCTCCTTAAGGCAACCTAACTTATTCATCATCATTATTGATTAAATTGATATCTTGACCTTGATATCCATCCATCATTTCCATTTCCCTCTCTAACTTTCTCAATTATCCAGCATATTCTTCATATGGTAATCCCATTTCTCTACATAACTAAACTAAAAATCTGAGACCTATAGATGAATACAAATAAATACATTCAATATTATCAGGGTAATCTGAATAAATCTTTTAGTAATTTCCCAAAGCTTTTTAGAAATGTCCCATTCTTCGATAACAACTTGCAACCATCAATTTCCATTTTACATCTCTTGATTAAACCTATGCAGCTCTCTCAAAATATAAACTAGCCTTTTCATACATTTCCTATTTCACATAATAAACTCCCAGCCATGAGATAGTTTCTATGTTAGTGGGTAAGATTCGATATGATTCTTAGAAATAATGCAATGCTTAAGGTTCGTCATCTTCCTATTAAATTATTAATTGACATTCATACTCTTGCAAATAACGATCCCAGTCTAGCCAAGATATTGGGGTCGTTTGGTACTTTGTTCATTACTTCCAAATACCATTTCATGGCTTATTTCGAATTGCCTGTCATTTCATATAATGTAGCCATCTGATACAGAACTTCAGGAATACAAACAATAGTTTATAGTTTATCTAATGCTTATAGTGATTCCACAAACATATTCAATTTTCTATTGACATATGCTAAATTGTAGAGTGCTTCAATACAATCAGCCTCAACACCAATTGCTTCTAAGTACTATTCCTTTGCTCTTAAGAATTCGTTTTTAACATACAAACAATTACCTCTATTGACTAAAGCTTTGGCATTGTATCTATCATATGTAATTGCAATTTCAGCATATTTCTCAGCTTGTTTGTAATCATTTTCTAAGAAATACAAAAATGATATGTTGGTTGCTATTCTTGCCATAATCTATTTATCCTTCTTTTCGAATCCTTTCAGAGTTTCAATTGATTTTTCGATATTCTTCTTTTTCAAAAATGCCATAGCTTTACAAATTTCAATTTCAGTTTCGGCTTCTGGGAATGTTGAATTCTTTAACTATTCTAAAATCCATTCGTATCCAATAATGATATCATTTTCTATCAATGGAGCAATTAATTTTGCTGATGTGACTATATAATAAATGGCTTCTCTCCTTCTTTCCTTAGTATCTTCCCTTAATTTATCTGTAATAGTGGTACCCTTATTTTCATTATTCTCTTCTTCATTCTCACCTGGTATTTCAATTGTTAGTAATGTCACGAAATAATCTTTCATCATATTCTTATTTCCGCTAAAATATAAACAAATCATCAGATTAAAGCCTGTTGGGAAGTCAGGAGAACTCTTAAGGATTTATACATATGTTGAGATAGCCTCCTTAATTTTCTCTTTGCCCATTCTTACTTAAGCATGGCCTATGTTTTTTTATATTTTGAATCTCATCTCTTTGGAAGTAGCAGGAATTAAGTCTAATGCCATTTTATACATCTTGATTGCTGTAGGATACTTCTTTTATTCAAAATAGATGTTGCCCATATTAACTCTTAATCTTCCTGCTTGAGGGTATTATTTACATTTGATAATTTCTTGATATTTGGTTAGAGCATCTTAATGTAATCCATTTGCATGTAAAGCACATGCTTAGGTTAAGGCTGCACAATAGCTGAGATCAATAGAAATCGATTCAGCTAAATTTTATGCTTCTTTGGACTGTCTTAACTTTTTTTCCTTATTGAATGCTTCTTTTGCTTTTTCTAAACATTCGGATAAGTTTCCCCTCAATTTAGCCATGGCACTTTATTCTATGAGGTTATTAATTTCTTTTTCAATTGATTTAAATTATTCTTCAGGATTAGTTTCAAGTTTTGGCTTATTCAAATTTAATTGATTTTGGGTGGAATTGAATGGGTCCTTCTTCTACCCAAAATTCGCTCCTCTATTAGATGTCATAGGCCTAGCTTCTGCTTGAGGTTATCTAGCTGCTGTTCCAAGAGGTTTTCCTCTAGAAGGTTACGGTCCACCAGGTGCAGGTTATTAAGCCTAATTTCATAAAAGTGATTAATTACTCTAACATTTTCGAAATTGTAATTATTAACAGGTGGTTTTCCTTAATTAAAGTTGTTACCACTCATACCAAATGCTCCATACTAGGATGAATTCATTTTTTATTATTTAAATTTTTATAATTGTATACTATCCTGTATATATATTAAATATATACACAATTTTATGATCAACCAATATATGATACAAATCTATTGTAATCCATTCTATACTAAGGATTGAAATCATCATAAATTAGATTTTGCAGAAATACATCTTCCCAGATACTCTTACAACCTTATTTGACAATGTACAATGGAGCATACTTTGTAAACTTATTGCTTAATTTATAAATGTAATTATACTATCTTAATTGGGAGATCAGAGTATAGATTCGATCGCTCGATTAAAGGTTATCCTCATTTAGTTGTTTAGTGTGGTATTCCTCATCAAATAGAGTAACTAAATAAGTGGGATCATGTATTCTCTAATTACACATTTAAATACTTGCATATATAAAATATTAAACAGTGTCCACAATCCATCAGATAAAGACCTCCACTTGATAACTCAGACAATACTAAAGACAATTATTCTGGGTATACGAACTGACCCTCATCATCATAAACACATTAATGTTCTTGTAAATTAGTCACATTATACAATTGAGGTACTAAATAAGTAACTAATTCATCGAAGTGAATATACTGAAATACAATTCTAAAGTAGTTGACATAATCTGTCATGATACTTTATTAATCATAAGAGTAATTAAGCATAATAGATTTCATGATACCTAAAGAGTACGCATGCATTTAATCCAAACTGATGTTGTATAATTTACAATTATAATAGATCGATCTAATAGTTGAGATTATGAATTCTTTAACAGGAATCAAATTCTTAGCTGAATTAATTTGAAACAATGCCATTTTAAAGATGGTCATTGCCAATGTGCATTGATCTATATGTGAGTATATAGTTTTGATGGAATTACTCAGAGGAATACAATAATTATGAACTCTAATTCTTCTTTCGCTTTTTGAGGACGTATACAATAAGGCAGTTTAGATATAGAGATGATCATAAGGCAGATTGAGTTCAGTTAATTCTAATTCATAAACCAACACTTTTTAGCTATCAATAATGATCATTAATATTTACTCATCGCAATTATTAATATTCAAAAGATCTGAAGTTTTCACAACGTAATTGCCATACACATGTTTAATCTTCCATCCAACTGAAGTTCTAATTCTAAATACTGATTCCCAGGCATAATCTCTGCTCAACACTTCTTTTAAGTCATTCCTAAACTTAGTTGCTGAAACTTTAATAACAATTTCTTACTATAGACAGTTGAATCATCGTAATAAAACATATCTCCATTTAGAAAGGTTGCTAATTGATTGATAGTGTAAATGTTCATGTAATTATTTGGAACTACAAATATTGATGGACATATAAATTGAAAATACATACTTTCAGTAATTTGTGTCAATACTGATTTACTTTTATGTAAATATAATTGCTGCTTTCCATTCTCCACAATATTTAATTCTTTAATTGGCGAAGATGTTAAAATAATTAATTTGGCTCCGTTCTCTTTTATCAATTTTTATGATATCTTCAATGCTTCAATGAATTATGTACTCTTCTACAGAGGTTTTGGAAACAGTTGACCTAAAGAATTCAAGAATCCAACAATTATGTCTTTAGAGTCTTGTAAATTAAATAGATATTCTCCGGGCATAGGCAGCTCATTGTCATCTGTTAAAACATACATCTAGACTTATTTTAGTTTTGAGTTGAAATTGTACAAATGAATAGAAGAATCAAATGTCAAAAATCCGAATAATGTTCTTTCATTAAATTACTCGCTTATTATCAATTCATTCATCACCTATCCTATAATTCCTAAAAGCGCTTCACTCTTTGTTGAAACATCAATCATAAAAAAATATGCAGGAGCCATGGGTGGTCTTGCCTAATACTCTTATCCAGCCTTGATATCATAAGATCCTAATGTTAGTTCAGTTCTTTCATTTGAATTCTCTTTTGTTATAGTGTTGAATCCAATTTAAGTAATCAAATTACATAGGTTGCATCTTAAATATTCAAAGTCATCTATGAATTTCATAAATGGATTCAAATATGCTCTACAATTTGCACATCTTATAATAGGGTAGCCTCCATTATTGACTGACACGAATCCATCTTGTACTGATTATCCATACGGTTATATCATAATAGCAAATGGAATTTTTGAATCTATAAAGGTTTATTTTGAATGTGGGAATACATTCGATGTACTTCTAATATTATTGTAACAGGCATTAAAATATAACTAAGCACTATTTTATTTATTTTGAATATATTCTTCTTCCTTTGCATGTTATTATTATTATTATTGAGCTTATTATGAGACCAATCTTCCACTCTTTTCTAGTATTTTTTTATGAACATTCATTCTAAATATTATTAAAAATTATTCAAAAATTCAATTATCATAGAACACTCTTTAGAGTAGATTTAATACAAGAACCAATCAATGTAGAAAATAAATAAGAATCAAATATCATTAAAGTACATTTGATAATAAGTTGGTCATAGCTATGGATTTCTATAAATTACTGGTTATCGTTTGAATGCTTGATTTTTTAAATTAGAATAAGTACAACGTAGATAAAATGGACATAACTGTTTGATTTTGACGAAATTGAATCTTAAGACAATCAAGTGTATAATAAAAGAATAGATATATATTATGATTAAAAATAGATCAAGAATATTGATGTATAAAATTATTGTTAATTAGATCATTTACAATTTTGAAGTTTATAGTTTACAACAAGATAAATCATGTTTTCGAGAAATGCCTTATGATGAGTTTGTAGGTCATTTTTATTTGAATCAATTTATTCATTTGATTGACTTCTCTTTATAGGTTTCTCTATTTAAAGATCTGGATATTGTACAGACTCTACAATAGTTGACTCTGTGGATTTGAATATTTTAAATGGGTTGATATTTAATTTTATGGATTTAGTTTGATTCAAGAGTTAGGCTGGACTTTCCAAAGCATCCTCAGGTATTACATCAATAGTTTGTTTAAACTTATCTGTTTCATTAAATTCATTAAGGAATGTTTTTCTGGGCATTCGTTTTAATTTGATGTTGGCTTCATATTTGATATAATGCGTTTTTGGGGATGAAAGTCTTGATAACTTTCTTTAAGGGCGAGAATCTTCTTTGATGATTTAAGATTATTCCTCCAATTTTTATTATTATTTAAGTTTATTAACCTCAAAGATGAGTTTAGAGAATTTGTTGGTTGAGTTGTTTTGTGATTATTATGATGATCTTTTCTCTTATTTATTCTGAAGTAATTAAACAAATTTACTTTTTAGTTTATTCTTTTTTTCTTATTCTTTTAATTGCCTCACTGTTTCAGCATGGATTTCAGCATTATAATTTTATAATCTTGCAATGGATCCTAAATTTGAATACGGAACAAAATTAGTATACTCTTTAATTGAATCTGTTTTGAAGGAATCTTTAATTCTTAAGGTTGTTAATTTATTCTTTTTGAAGGAGTTCAAGTATTTTTCAAGCGTATAAAGATCAGAAGTAATTTATTTAATGGCAACTTAATTTTCAGATAAATTTGAAAAGGTCTTTGTTTTTTTTCTCAATCTCCTTTTCGAATTTATCATCAATTTAATTTCATCATTATATTTTTCTATAATATTGATTCTATCATATTTATTGATAACATAATGAGTAGTAGGACAATATTTTGCAGTGTGATTAACCGCAGAACATACATAACATTTAATATTCAAACCTTCTAATTTCTATTCAAATTCAATATTAAATTTTAATTAAAAGAATTGTTCTAGATCTTCATCTTCACATTATTCCAAAAATGCTTTTCTTGAAAGTCGAAATAAATTGATGAAATTTCTGGCTTTAGCTGATGCACACCTCGGAACGTTGGCAAAAAAGGAGATCTCTCCAAAGTATTATTTTTTGGTCAATTCTACAATATCATTGAATCCTTTAGTTTTTGGATAACATATTGAAACTCTTCCATTTAAGATAAAATAAATGGAGGTAGTATCATCAATAGGATCATCGTGTTTAATTATCCAATCCTCAGGGTTGTATACTAATTTATTAAAGTAAATACTTTCATCTTGAAATATAAAGGCTAGTTTCTTCAGGAGAAGTGGGGAGAAATTCTTTCTTAAGAATTTAATCTAACTCATCATATTCCCATGTACTAATTGAGTCACTTGATTTTTTAAGGGCAATGATAATTTCTCTAAAGTATTATGTGCATATCCTTTTTGCAGCTATTCATCTTCTATCAGCCATTCTAAGTAATTCTTGATTCTGGCCTAAAGGGATTTATTTATGCATTTGTGTTTTAAGTATCTAATAAAATAGAATTAGGATTTTAACTTTTTGGCAGAATCGTTTTTGATTAATAATTCTTCTAGAGATTCGTTTGTATTCTAAAATAGTAAGACAATAGAATTCATCACATATCCAAATACTCCAGAAGCCAAGATCATCACAAACACGCTAAAAGATCTTTCTATTGTATTTTTTGGCGAGATATCTCCATATCCAATTGTGATCATGGTAGTTATGCTTTATTTCTGATATTCAATAAGATATACCTAAAATAAATTCCAGCCACATATTAATTGAACCAATAATTTGGATCATTATCCAATTCTTAATCATAATTGCTAACATATTATGTGTACCAATCCTATTCATTTTGTTAAATTAATCTTATGGCATTCCATATACATGCTAGCCAATGTGATAAACAGAGAATTATTAGACAGATTTTGAAGAACTGAATAAACGAAGTTATAGATTTATCCAATGATAAGGAATCTTCAATTTGATTAATAATCTTTTTTAACTTCAAAGCCCTCATCAATCGAATCACCTTAACAAATCTTAGAATTCTCATTATTTTTATGATCTAAGTATTTCTTTGCACATCCTTTTAATTGGATTCCTCTAAAGTGAGAGAGATAATTCCATCATAAGGGAATGAAGATATCAAATCTAGCCAAAACCACAACTTTAAATAATTTAGTGCTATCTTTCTTCTTTGATAGATATAATTACCTCTAACATATTTCAATATAATTTACTTATTGTAGTAACCTGTCTAAAATTGCAATACAATATCAACAAGAAAATAATAATCCATTATGTTACTAAATATACTAAACCCATAATCCATATCCAGTCCAAATGTTAAAATCAACGGAATCAATATCATCTATATGAAAATAAATCCCATTCCTATTAAATCCCAAATAATCTTTTTTGGTTCTTCTGGCCGTATTATGTTAAATATTCTGCACCTTCCCCAGTCTTTACTTTTGCCCTCACTCTCTTCTAATTTCTTAAGTTGTTCTGGATCTATATACTGCTACTCCTTTAGTAAAGTTATCTAAGTTTTGTTATAACTCCAAATTTCAAATTTCAGGTCACCATATGATTGATCACCTTATTATATTTAAACCATACCTATCAATCGTAAACTTTCATCTTGAAGATAATTTTCTATTTATTTGCTATGCAGACTAAGGCTTTTTATTACATTTTATTTTTTTGACATCCTTATTATATAATAATATATCTAAAACACAATAAAAATAATCAAATCAACAAAATAAAAAATCCAATAACATTGATATTCTAATGTGAAATGCTTAATTGGACTTCAAATTCATTTCCAAATTGCTTTTAGAAATATTCAAGATTTCTTTTATGATCATAATCTTGGGATTCTGATCTTATCTGCAAATCTCCACTTCCGAAACACAAATTCTATAATCATTCTTCATGTAACTAGTCACTTTGTATCTATTTAAATATCCAAATACAACTAAAAATACTCTATTAATAAACTTATTTTCTTTTCATATTGCTATTATTCTAAATTATGTTAGAAATGCAATCAATTTTATTGGGTATTTTGCCGTTTCAAGATCTGCTGAAATCCTCATATCTAATCTAAGAATAATTTTATCATTCGACTATTATTCTTAAGTCTTGAATTTAGTGAAATCCTAGCGGTCTATTGGTGGCTTCCTTTAAATGAATGTCCATTGATTCATTTGCTGTCTTAAGGTCGATCTAAGGGATCTATACTGTAGGAAATAGGGGTTTGTATATAAAAGTCGAGATGTCAATTTTGAATTGGTAACATATTTAAGCATTTAAGAATGATTAAAGATCTAATCCATGGTGAATTTTTGACTTGGGATAACCTTTAAGATTGTTCATGTCTCTGAATAAAGCGTTCCCATGTAACAGTTCATCTAATCAGATACTTAAAGTCCACAAACTTGACCGAAGCCATATTTATTGATTCAACATTTTATTGAATATCATATGGTATTTATTATACATTTATAAGATCCAAAAAGGTGATTTATTCATTTCTCACTCTAAACACTTCAACTAAAATCTAATATTTTAACATATCCTTGATAATCTAATAGCAGATTCAATTGTTATTATTTTGCTTTCTTCTGACACTTATAGTTGATAACAAATCTAATATATCTAATTATAACTAATTAATTAAATACTTCTATTCTAATTAAAATAAGAATATATAATATATACATTAATATAATTATATTATTAACATTGTTCATTTAAACTTAAGTGTATTATAAAATACAAGCCAAGATCTTTACATCTGATACTAAACATTAATTGGCATATCTTTACATATTCTCACTAGAATGCCCATCGATACATTAACATGTAAATATTGGTTTAATGAGCTATATTTGAGATATGATCATATATTCTAATTAACAATCTATGAACTTGTTCCTACTAATCTATTATATTTAAAATAATTATCATCAGAAAAAAAATCTATTAAAAATTACACCCTCTTTTTGTTATTCTAATGTTGATATATTAAATTGTTTTAAGACTTTTTTATAATAATCAAAAAATTGGTTAATTTATTAATTGAATACTAAAAATTCTTGAATTCTCACTAATTTTTTTTTCAATCCCAATATTAAGAAAAGTAAATTCTTTTTTGATATTATATGGTCATCCAAGTTGTATTGATTCTTGAAAACGATTTAATAGCCTGAAAATATATATGCAGTTATCGCGATTTCAATCTCAAATTCTGGGCCATTTATACGATGTTATAAAAGTATTTAAATTTTTAATAAAATAATTCTACATGATCAACCTAAATTTTTTCAACTTTTCTTAATAGAATTCGAAATAAGTCTTTAATATAGGTATCTTATTTAATAATCTGTTATTTTACTGCCATATTTTTTTTTAAATTATTATTGTGCAAAAGTTCAATTTGCTAATTTAGATTCATATCCATTCCTCAAATATCCATCATGATAGTAGACCCAAAGATTAAGTGATTAAATAGTTGCAATTATGAGAATATATTAATATAAGTTTTTGGTATTATATATATTTTAAAAATATATGCCTTATTCTATCATAAATAAATTTCATCAATGTTTTCATCAAAGTAACAAAGAAACATATTATTGATTTAAGAGAAAGGGTATGAAATTATTTCATAAATGGAGTAATAAGGTACACAATCAATTAATTATATCGCAAAATATAGTGGGAATACAAATGAACAAGTTATCATAAAATAATACGATTAAATAAAAATTGATGAAATAGAAGTGCTGAAAAAAATTCATAAAGCACAAATTGATGATAAGTCTAAAAACAAACATATTATTAAAATACTTGGAATTTAAGATTGTTCATAATAAAAAGAATAGAAAAACTTTTTAACTGTAATAGAATAAGGTAAAAATAATTTAACACATTTGATTAATAGTAATATATCTTTTAAATTATTTTAGAAATTTAAACTCTTTAAATAAGTAAATTAAATTATATTATTAGATGATTAAAGGAGTTAAGGAATTACATGCTTTAGGCTATGTTCATCGAGATTTGAAATTAGAGAACTTTGTATATTTTGAAAATAAAAATAAAAGTTATAAAGTCAAATTGATAGACTTTGGTTTAGCTAAAAAAGGCTCCACAAGATTAAAAACAATATAAGTAGGGACTTGGAATTACATGTCACCTGAAGTTATGATAGGAGAGGGTAACTACGATAATACTGCTGATGTTTGGAGTCTAGGAATCATACTCTTTTAAATGTTAACAGCAGAATCATTATTAAAAGGTTTTAATTTAATTATATGTAGCTAAAAATACAAAAGAATTAATAACTCAGATGAATGCTTTAACATAGGAGTAGATAGATATGAAAATAGATCAAATCAATTGTATGCAGCCATCAGAAAAGGAAATAATTAAGTCTCTGTTATAAAAAGATAGTAAAAACAGATGCAATTTGGAAATAATACTAAAGAAAATAGATTAACATTTAAAGGCAATTAAGGAGTAAGAATAAAAAGAAATATATTAATTTAAAGATCAATAATAATTAATAATAGATTCTATATAATGCACAATTAAGAATATCATTTAATTTCTAACTGAAAAATAACCAATAATAAATCAAATTAATTTATAAAATCAAAAAAAATAAGAATTGTTAACTTACATTAATAATGAATTTTCGAAATATGAAAAGATTTTATTAAAAAATTAATAAAGATATAAAACGATATTTTAAGCATAAATAAAGGAAATGCTAAAAAACAATGATAATGAACTATCTTAAGAATATTAATAATATAATAATGACTAGAAACTTATAATTGATAGAATCATGTAAGAATAAAGTTAACTAGAATAGTTTGTCAAAGAAAAAGAATAAGAAGATAGAATCAAAATAGAATCAGAATAGAAATTGAAATTAGAATAAGAGTAGATATTAACAAAAGAAAAAGAATATTATCAATCTTAATTAAAACTACTTAAATAGTAATTAAATTAATAATCTCCTTAGATTTAATAAATATAACACCAAATTGATTTTTATCAGAGAATAGAAATTTAAATTTAATGTGAAGACAATATCCAAGATATGATTAAAAATCATGAACAAATAACATAAGATATCTACACTTTAGAATTTTAGGAAAAAATAATTTAGAAATGCGAATCCTTACAACAATAAATTAACTCTTATTAATCATGTATTAGCTAGCTTAAAGAAATTTAATAAGCTTAAATTCGACTCAATACTTAAATTGGATAGGAAAATAAATGTATTTAATAAATTGATATAGAATATTTGGATTAACATATGTAATAAATTGAGGAAATAAACGAAAAATTAATTGATCATTAGGATAAATATAAGTAATTATCTAAGAATTAAAAATATACAAATTAAATAACATAAATAATTGACAGATAGGACAAGCTTTTGGTTACTTAGATGATCTAAAATTATTGCTATCTTAAAGTACGTTTGTATCTTTTTAAAAATACACTCAAATAAATTAATAGATAGAGCAATCATTAAGGAGCTTTGAAAAATAATATTATTAAATTCATGAATAAATTTACCAGGATTTGTAATTTGAGGAAAAAAATGAAGAAAAAATTAAAAAACTAGAAGTGACAAAAGATTAATTAAATAATTTTATTATAAAAATGAATCAAATAAAAGATTATGGGAAAAATCTAATCAATAATCAATATTGCAATAATTAAAAAACTTAGAATTTAATTTATATTAAGTTAACAAACATTGATTAAAATATAGTGGAATAATAAGAGCAATTTGATAAATTTACTTAGGTGAATTAATTAGATTCTTGCGAAAATATTATTAACTAAATAAAATAATTAGAAGATTTTTACGGAAAGTTAAAGGAAGTAGAACTTAATGAAATAGAATCTTTAAACCAATTAGAGTTAATCATTAAAAATGTAGGAGAAGAAACTAAATGTGAATAATAAAAAGAAATTCATACTTTAAATAATCAAATATAAAATAGATATACGGAATATAAAAAGGCTCTGTAATTAATCAAATTTGAATTTGAAAGGGTTGAGTTTTATTAATAAATGAATGAAAATAAAGAAAATCTCCAAAAAGAATTGGAATAAGAAATCAGCATTTTGAATTAGTATTCATAGATTAAATCTGAAAACATGCAACTATTGGAAATAGAATTATAATAAAAGAAAACAAAAAAAGGAAAGTAATAACAATTAACTCAAAATATACTCAATAGATTCCAATACACTTGTCAATAAAAAGGATAGAAGTTAGATGATATAATTAAAAAAGTTGCTCAAAAATAATAAGAAATAAATTTTTGCTTAATGGATGAAAATCTAATTAAGAATTATGAATATTTAAAAATGTAAGAAGAGCAATTATCAATAGAATTAACTTTAATAAATTAAAAAAACATATCTAACTAATAATTAAACCCTTAATAATTAAATGAATAATTAAAAGAAGATATTCTAAAAGTCTTTGCTGATATTGATAAATTAATGAAGAAAATTCCAGAAAAAGATGAAATAGAAAAGTTCAACAATGCTTTTCTTTAAAATTTAGAATCATACTAGGAAATTTAAGCTTTAATTAATTATATAAAATAATATCACTTAACAAGATATTATGAAAGAATCAAAGAAAATGCAAATTAATAAAACTCAAAACAATAGAATAATATAGAAAGCGACTATTAAAAGTAATTCTAATCTAAATTATACAAGGAATTAGAAGAATACACAAAATAAGAGAAAGAAGCTTAAGATATATTCTTAAGATATGAAAATATTTTATTTAAAAACTACAATAAGATGAAGACTGAAGCAATGGAGGAAGATAAAATATTAATAGAAAAAAAGATTGTAGAGGTGGAAAATTATATTAAATGTTCAGAAAGTGTGTCGTTTAAAGCTAAATTCAAAGATTAAAACAAAATTAAAGAGATCTTTAACGTCAAATAATATTATAAAATAATTGAGTTTACATAAATGCTGATATTTAAAATAATAATTAAGAATCATGATTGATAATAATAAATAATAATCCAATCAATATTGAAATAAATAATTTAAAATTATAAATTTTTTTATACTTTAACAAATTTATACAATTACGAAATATTATATACTAATAATCATAAATCTAAATTAAATTACTTGTAGGTATGTTTCTCAAAATTGTTAGAATTCAATGATAAAAATTATAAAGTTGGGTATTTAGTTTTTCAATGATATTAAAAGAATAAAATGTTGAAGAAGGAATTCAGTGGAGAAATGTTTAGAAATTCAACCTATATTATATTATGTATACATATTGATTTAGTAGACATGAGAGGATCTACTTTATTAATTATTTCGCTTATTTGTATAAATCTGACTCATTTTCTCTCTTCCCATAATTATTGATTAAGTAAAATTTGAAAGATTTTATAATTCCTGAAAGAATTTACAGGTTTTTACAATCAAGAGTAAAGGAAAAAATAAACAGCCTTTGTTAATTATGTCTAAAAGTTTGATTCAAATATTTGCATTTATTCTACAATAAAATTCATCTTTGGGTTGAATACTATCATCTATAATAGGTGCGACAACTTTCAAACCTTATTAAAATGGTTTGATTAAGAGAATATGAAGTAAACAATTAATGATTAAATTGACTAAATATTTTATTGATCTTTATTAGAAAAAAGAGTTTCAATTGATACTTGACTATCATCAAATTACTAATTTAATATGAATCTTCCTATCCTTTAAATATTGGTAAGCATGAAATAAATTAAACTTTTCCGCTCGAGTTAATAGTAAAGATAATTTTAGATTTAAAACCTCTGAATATATCAATTTTGGATAAATATATTTTGATAAAATCACTCATGAAACCAACCTTAAATAATATATTTTCAGTTATTTTCTAAACCAAATAATTCATCAATATTCAACTTTTTGAAATTTATTACATAGATCTCTTATTTGGCTCATCCAATTCTCCTTAGGATAAAATAAATATGGGTTATAAAGAATACACTCTTCTAATACAAAGGATGGATTGACGGTTTAAGAGAATTAGAAATTCATCCTTTCTTAATCCAATTGGTGAATTAGATGTTATTTATCTTATTGTATCTAAAAGAAAAGTGAATGCTTCTAAAACGAGGAGTGATTTTGGTTCTGGGTGAATCAAATCCCGAATGTGGTTTTGAAATTACTAATTTTTATTTACCATAATTTGCATAATTTCAAAATTTTTTGTGATTATTTATCTCATTAGTTCAAAGTATTTGATTAAATTAATTTCTAATTGATATCAGAATTGATCAAAATCTCATTTCATTATGCACCTCTTCCCTTTTTTCTTAATTCCAAACATATACTTTTATGAGTTTACTGTTTTTGTTAAATGTAAAATGTAATAGATCTTCTTTTGAGAAAATAAAGCAGTTATCATTTCAAATATTTTTGTGGGAAGGAAATACATTAAAGATAAGAATGTTACTCTACAGAGGCAATGAGTTTTTCCTGTTGATGGCATGAACATATGAAAATATCATATATCTGAATTGAAATTTATCTTAGCAAGTACATCTTTTTAAATTTACTTAGATATGAAAACGCATGGGTCTTTAGAGGTGTCTTTTTTTTAAAAGATATCTTCAAATATTCGCTTTTTAAAATATTTTTGACTAATCCCTAATCAAATACATTCAATGCCATTATAAAGGGTATATAAAATAAATATACTAGTCTTAAAATTTTTCTAATAGAATTTAATTTAAGCTTCAAAGTTTGCTACAATTAATGTCAGAACTATATTAATATTTCTATCATTAAAAATAAACATAATGAAATCATCTCAAGAATCGAATGAGTCAAAACAAAATATGAAAAATTCTTTTATGCTCACGAAATAGAATCCATAATCTTAACAAATTAGCAATTCATTATAAAGATTCTAGACAACAACACCAGTACTTTATCAAGGCAAATTCAACGATAAAAATCAAAATTTCGGAAACTACTAACATTTGCCGGATCCAAAATACTTTTAATAATTACCCTAAGTAACAATTTCTTAAGAAAAATTTGATGATGATGATTAAATTGAAGCAAATTTGTTCTAAGCTAAGCCGAATATATATGACTTAGAAAAAGAACTAATTTTTGAAATAAAGACATTATAGAAGATGATTAAATTATCTAACACCTAAACTTAATAGTTGCCTGGAATCATTAGTATAAAAACAAAAGACCAATCAAATAGTTAAGACCTAAATAGAGTTGGAGTAGACTTGGTAATGTTTTAACTAAATTAGAGATTTGTTTGATTGATAAAAGCACAAGTATGAATGGGAGTAAAATAGAGACTGTAAAATAAAGTTTGAAAGTTCTATTAACATTTTTAACAGATCAAGATCGTTTATAACTAATTATTTTTAATAGCCAGTCTCAAAGGTTAACTCCATTGAAAAGAACAACAGAAGATAACAAATTATACTTTACATAAATGATTGATTCAATTAATTCTACCGGAGGAACATAAATATCCTCAGCCACCGAGATTGCTTTTCGCTAGTTAAAGGGGAGGAAGTATCGAAATACTGTGAGCTCAGTCTTTTTACTTTCTGATGGCCAAGACAATGTTGCCACCTAATAAATATAAATATAATTATAATAACTAGATGAGGAATTTACTATGCATACGTTTGGATTTGGATAAGATCATGATGCAGCTATGATGACATCTATATGTAACTTGAAAAATGGAAGTTTTTATTTCGTATAGAATATTTCTTTATTGGATGAATTCTTTGTGGATGCTTTAGGAGGTTTAAAATCGGTTGTGGGCGAAAAATTAAAGATGAAAGTTAATTTGAAGCATCCTGAAATCTTAAATGGTTTGAATATTTCTAAGACTCATGGAAATAAGTGGATTAATAAAGGGGATTATTATGAGATCAATCTTCCAGTATTAATTTAAGGATCCAGAAAAGACTTTGTGTTTGAATTGGAACTACCTAAATTAATTGCTCAAATTTAAGATAATGAAAGAAATGCTTTGATTATGGAAGCTCTGCTTTAAATTACTGATCCATTGTCGAAAAAGGAATTGAAAAAATCTGCAACTCTGATTTTGACATTCTTTAATCAAGATGAATAAATTTACTAAAATGAAGAAGATATAGAAGTTCTTGAATAATATAATAGAGTGTTAGTAGCTAAAGCAATCGATGATGCAAGAAAATCATGCCAATAATAGTAGTTTGATATGGCTTAAAATTAAATAGACAACGCAATTGTACGATTAGAAACTAATAAACAAATTTCTTCATAGGCTCCATCACTAATTAAGGATTTATAATAAGCAAAGCAAGCATCTATGAGAGGAACCTTTAATTCATATGGTTTAGGATAAATGATGCAATTAAGTAGCAATAGTTACCAACAACAAGGAGTCAATTCAGTTTTTTCATTAGATGGATAGCAGTAATAATAAAGTGCTCGGCTTTAAAGTTATTCTAACAACTTATAACAGAATATGGTCCAATAAATTCAATTAAGGAAAACTCAAAATGAAAATGGAAACTGAAAGACAACTATAATCAGTTTATCATAATACATTTTTTATTATTTTATAAA